ACTTAACATTTTGTCTGTGGAGTTTGGGATTCGTTATTTGGATAAAATACGTCAATCATCCGTTAGCGCCGGCAGTATTGCTGCTGCTTAGTACTCCCCAAGTCTTCGATTCGAGCCACAACGCCTACAATCATAATTCATACTTTTATATTTTATATTTAACTTACCTTTGAAATTTATAACTATGGAGCGTACAGGAAAAAATCAGAAATGTTGTGCATGGCCAAACCTTATAACTGACAGGCGTTTCATTAAATGTTATTTGTGCAAGCAAATATATGATCTTTAATGCTAATGTCTCAGAAAAGAGATTTCTTTTAATAACTAATGAGAACAAGGATACCTGGAGCTCTGATCTATGCCGATCTCATCGTTTTAAATGTGCCAATATAATATTAGATTATTAGATAATATTAGTGTGTTTAAGAACCTCCTCCCTTTTTAAGTCGGTTAATAATAAAGTATCAGGGAAAGTTAATTTAACTATAATCAGTACTGCCATGTGAAAAGTTTTAATTTTTGCTACTGTCAGTCTACTGCAGACTTATCGTGGTCTGACTGTAATAAGGTATATATTAGTGATAGGTTGCTTTATTATAAAGGTATGTATAAAAGTTAATTTCAGGAAATAAATATTGTAATAAATTTAAATATCTTTCTTGTCAATATGATGTTTATGACGAGTAAAATGTTTGGGCTGAATATAGACAATTGTACATCGATGAAGCAGAGAAAAACAAAAAGGTTTCCATAGCATTTTATGATTTTGACACAAAAATCGATCTTGGCTTGATTTGATATTAAGTCAAAGTAGCGTTTATTAAGCGGAAGCAACGGATATCTGACCATATTTAATGGATTATAATAACAGACAGCATAAGTATACTTCAAGCCTTATCAAACCCAGCGTTTTCTCAAAATCTAATTACACTATACACAAGATATGAGAAAAATATTTTGGGGATAGATATTTAGGAGATATTTATTTTGGAATCCAACACATATAGGCTTTTACGGTAATGAAGAAAAGGCAAAGTTTATAACTAATACTTCTGAAAATGTTCCTGTGAAAAACATAAGGGTTCCTGATTGTGTAGAAATTCTAAAAGACAAAATAAAGAAGACATGGTTAGATCATTGACATGAAACTTTACAAACCAAAGGTGTTTGATATAATATTAATGATACAATCAGAAAGCCGTGGTGTGCTCAAAGAAATTTTATTTGAAATTTTACACTACAATATGTAGTCTGCGACTCGAACACTCGACGACCTCCGTGGCCGAGTGGTTTGTACGCCGGGTTTCATGGTGTCGCTGACTCGAGAGGTCCCGGGTTCGAATCCCGGTGGGGGCAGATGTTTGTGTGATGAACACTAGCATTTGTACTCCAGTCATGGATGTTTAATATGTATTTCTATATAAATATAATTATATATGTAAAGTATAATATGTATTCTATCCGTTACCCTAGTATCCCATAACACAAGCCTTATAGTGCTTACTTTGGGGCTAGGCTAATTGGTGTTTTTTTATTAAAAAAAAAAAAAGAACATGGACGCTTTAGCGAACATTTATTCATAATGAACATGGTCTCCTCATGGCTTCTCAAATAAATCACTTCATTATTTGTTCTTCGAATGCCCTCATTTTACTTTTCAGCGAATATATCTCAGTAATAGTTGGCTTGAAATCTACAATTCAGCCGAGAACATCCCGCGTTCCTTATACCTGTACTTCTTCAATACCCACAATTTTATTTGGCACTGCATAACTACATCAAGAGAACTATAGAAGTTATTTAAACTTGGATTTCGAATGATTATACAAGAAGACTTGAAGAAAACTATTTATAATCTTGGCTGTATGGCGCATTTTGTCGTCTTTGCCTTTTCCGTTTAATGAACGGAGAGAACTGAACCAAAAAAACGAAGGTGGACTAATAACACCTGTACCCTTAAACTTTTCTAAAATCATGAAACAATTGGAAAATCGCTATATTTACCTATTTGCAAGTAGGCAACATGTCATACACTGTTTGGTTTTTCTTAAGCTAATTATGTTATGCAGTAAAATTATCAATGTTCTTTAATTTTATACATTTTCTCTGTTCACATTAAAATTAAAATCATTAAATAATTGTTGACAGTGAAACTGGAATATGGACGGATCCATGGTTCCTTGTTTTTACAAAAGCTTATTGATTCACATTGATTTATTAATATTGCCATTAGTATACACTAACTCCTAACACTCAAAAAGTATATCATTATTACTCAAAGAGGAGGATTTTGTCAAATCGAAAGTAATGCATTTTAATTTTTAGGTGAATTTAGAACCAAATAGACGTACATTATTTTCTCACATGTATTGTATGGAAGACTTATTTTACAAAACCAGTTCAACTTTTATGATAAATTAGAAATATGATTTAATTGGGACACAATACATGTGCAGTGCAATAGATTTATCAGAAAATACTACTCCAAAATGAATTTTTAACCTTTAAACACTAAAAAAGTAACACAATATAGACCTAATAATATATCCAACAATAACAAAAAAAAATGGATGCGTGAAACTTATGTACGCGCGTGAGAAGTTATACTTCTTTAGCATCATTAAAATATTTTTTAATTGCATGCAAATAATTAATAATTACAATAAAATAATAAGAGGACTGGAAAAGGATAGTTAACACAGTCAATTAAGTTCAGTTTTAATTTGAAAAATTATATACATATTCAAAATATTCAATTAAAATCACTAACTGAATTTAAGTTATTAGTCCATATGTAATTAACACTTGTAAGTAACTAAAACACGTAGTGTTCTTGACCTTCACAAGTGCTTGTAACAGCCTAGACTGAATAAATGTCATTTCATTTCATTTCATTTCATTTCATTTCATTTCATTTCATTTCATTTCATTTCATTTCATTTCATTTCATTTCATTTCATTTCATTTCATTTCATTTCATTTCATTTCATTTCATTTCATTTCATTTCATTTCATTTCATTTCATTTCATTTCATTTCATTTCATTTCATTTCATTTCATTTCATTTCATTTCATTTCATTTCATTTCATTTCATTTCATTTCATTTCATTTCATTTCATTTCATTTCATTTCATTTCATTTCATTTCATTTCATTTCATTTCATTTCATTTCATTTCATTTCATTTCATTTCATTTCATTTCATTTCATTTCATTTCATTTCATTTCATTTCATTTCATTTCATTTCATTTCATTTCATTTCATTTCATTTCATTTCATTTCATTTCATTTCATTTCATTTCATTTCATTTCATTTCATTTCATTTCATTTCATTTCATTTCATTTCATTTCATTTCATTTCATTTCATTTCATTTCATTTCATTTCATTTCATTTCATTTCATTTCATTTCATTTCATTTCATTTCATTTCATTTCATTTCATTTCATTTCATTTCATTTCATTTCATTTCATTTCATTTCATTTCATTTCATTTCATTTCATTTCATTTCATTTCATTTCATTTCATTTCATTTCATTTCATTTCATTTCATTTCATTTCATTTCATTTCATTTCATTTCATTTCATTTCATTTCATTTCATTTCATTTCATTTCATTTCATTTCATTTCATTTCATTTCATTTCATTTCATTTCATTTCATTTCATTTCATTTCATTTCATTTCATTTCATTTCATTTCATTTCATTTCATTTCATTTCATTTCATTTCATTTCATTTCATTTCATTTCATTTCATTTCATTTCATTTCATTTCATTTCATTTCATTTCATTTCATTTCATTTCATTTCATTTCATTTCATTTCATTTCATTTCATTTCATTTCATTTCATTTCATTTCATTTCATTTCATTTCATTTCATTTCATTTCATTTCATTTCATTTCATTTCATTTCATTTCATTTCATTTCATTTCATTTCATTTCATTTCATTTCATTTCATTTCATTTCATTTCATTTCATTTCATTTCATTTCATTTCATTTCATTTCATTTCATTTCATTTCATTTCATTTCATTTCATTTCATTTCATTTCATTTCATTTCATTTCATTTCATTTCATTTCATTTCATTTCATTTCATTTCATTTCATTTCATTTCATTTCATTTCATTTCATTTCATTTCATTTCATTTCATTTCATTTCATTTCATTTCATTTCATTTCATTTCATTTCATTTCATTTCATTTCATTTCATTTCATTTCATTTCATTTCATTTCATTTCATTTCATTTCATTTCATTTCATTTCATTTCATTTCATTTCATTTCATTTCATTTCATTTCATTTCATTTCATTTCATTTCATTTCATTTCATTTCATTTCATTTCATTTCATTTCATTTCATTTCATTTCATTTCATTTCATTTCATTTCATTTCATTTCATTTCATTTCATTTCATTTCATTTCATTTCATTTCATTTCATTTCATTTCATTTCATTTCATTTCATTTCATTTCATTTCATTTCATTTCATTTCATTTCATTTCATTTCATTTCATTTCATTTCATTTCATTTCATTTCATTTCATTTCATTTCATTTCATTTCATTTCATTTCATTTCATTTCATTTCATTTCATTTCATTTCATTTCATTTCATTTCATTTCATTTCATTTCATTTCATTTCATTTCATTTCATTTCATTTCATTTCATTTCATTTCATTTCATTTCATTTCATTTCATTTCATTTCATTTCATTTCATTTCATTTCATTTCATTTCATTTCATTTCATTTCATTTCATTTCATTTCATTTCATTTCATTTCATTTCATTTCATTTCATTTCATTTCATTTCATTTCATTTCATTTCATTTCATTTCATTTCATTTCATTTCATTTCATTTCATTTCATTTCATTTCATTTCATTTCATTTCATTTCATTTCATTTCATTTCATTTCATTTCATTTCATTTCATTTCATTTCATTCAAATCTGCCCTGTTTGCTTTGTTCAAATCTGCCCCACGGTCACTTGGAAAATAAAATATTACAAATAACGCGCCCGCGGCTAACTTCATTATGTTAAAATTTTGTGTTACAGTGATGAAAATTTCACTCTCATAATTTTTTCATAACGCGGCTAAAGAAGTATAACTTCAAAAATGGCCTAAAAGTCTTCTGATCACATCAGCCAATAAAAACTGATTTAGTTATAACATCTAAATCATCATGGAAAGCTGCCGACTTGGTTTGATTACTTTATTTTTGTAATTTTAGTAGGACATCTGAGATATTCAAACAAATCATTGATTATTAGTCTTAGTTTAGAATTGTCTCAATTGATAAAATAAACTGATATGTAATTTATAATGTGAGGTTCATAGATAAATTAAATATATTTGGTAACCACACTAGTCAAACATATCTAAAGGAATAAAGGGGGACTCAACTAGTAAAATTTATTTAATATACCTACTTATTATTTATCTAAGTACCTACAATGTTAATATATAACTCCTTGCAAGATTTTTTACTTCTAAAAGAAGGTTTTGGAATCAATGCATTGTGTGTGTATTTTAGGAAAGCTATTGGAACATAAGCAGGCACTTTCATCTCTATGTGCCAGATTTTATAAAAGTGTAATTGACTACAGTCATAGTAGTTTTTGGTCTTTTTGCTGCTTAGATATTTAATTTTAATTTAATTTTATTAATTACCTAAAGATACTATTTTACGCCTTTTGATCATATATCTCTAGAAATGTTATATTTAAATATATTATAGTAGTTTGATTGTATAATGAAATTCAGATAATTACAATAATAAACTAATGAAACATTTTTAATCTTGAAGACTCCTTTAGTTTATGGAAAACAAAATATCATTTATATACTCTCTCAATTATTAAGCTAGATTCCAAAATTTGCATCCAACACATGAAGTAAAAACAATTCAACCAAATAATATTTACATGAATCATCATCATCATCAACAGCCTATTAATGTCCCCACTACTGGGGCATAGGCCTTCCCCATGGATGGAATAGGGAGATTGGGCCATGACGCACCACGCCTGCCCAATACGTGCAGCCGGGACCAACGGCTTAACGTGCCTTCTGAAGTACGGAGGATAGAATATTTTTGGTCACCCATCCAATGACCGACCACTACGAAAGTTTGCTTAACTTCAACGATCGCAGCCGAACGCACTAACCACCCGCGCCATCAAGCTCCTCTTTACATGACTATATTTAAGTATGTCTATAAACACCTGATTATGGAGCTTCAACAGACAATATAAATTGTTTCTCTTTTCATATTTCATAGAATTATTCACCGATTCGGATTTTAGTTGTCTAAACATCTGCAATTGCAAGAATTGAGCAGCGGAGCATAATTAATAATAAAACGAACTAACCTGTAAGTGAAGTTCTATTATAATAATGTGAGCTGCTCAATTTGAAACAATTAATGGCTCTCGCTCACCCTTTTTCAATTTCCCTTCCCCATGATAGCCGACTGAAATCAGTTTTGCAATTTTTAACAGGAGCTGTAAAAAACTTTTTAAAATTTTCGTTTGGACAATCGTGGCTGGCTGTGAGTACAAAGGCTAAGTCCTTGTACAATGTTTAGTGAATCAGGGTATTGTTAGGATATTAGAAGGAAATTTATACTATTATATTGATATTATTAAATGTATATTACATTTTTTTTAATGTGTATATTATGACTGGTGTATTTATTTATTTTTAAAGTTGATTTTATTGATAAATATTACAAACATTGTATAATGAATTGATAATTTGTATTGCATTGTAACAAATTCAAACGAATTGATTGTATACTAATTATGACGAATGTTGCATGCCCCTTCAGGCAAGACAAACAGATCTATAATTTAATTTCCATCTGGAAACAAACTATGTTCCTAGCAAATAAACTATTACTATTAACACACAGGTTTTTTGGGAAACAGAGAATAGAGTTGAAATAGATATTATAAACAAAAACAATCAAACACGCATTTATTTGATAAATAATATAATTTTAATGGTTAACTCTGTGTCGAAACTGTATGATCACAATAGGGAATATACATGTAATTCAAAAAAGCCTCATTTTTATTTTTATATAAACTCTACTACTTTTAAGGTATCCGTCCATCAATAATTGTTAATAAAATTTCTTTTCGAGCAAGAAAGTAATGACATAGAAGTGCGAAAAACTTGTGGGAAACACAAATATTTGAAACGCGACGAGAGCGTCTGTGACGTCAAACTGATACCTTAAATTTATAATTTATACCTTTAGCTGATCTTGTTTGTAGGTTGAAATGAATCGGCACGTCGCACCCAAGCGTTCAAAAATAGGGACTGTTTAAAATGCCCGTACAAGGTTGCTATTTTAAATTTGTTTAGACAATTTATACTATGGAATTATTTTATGTACTGTATAAATGGGATGTAAATAAATAAATAAACATTCTATATTATGAATTCCGTCAGCAGTATCACTAAATGTAACAGTTTTGCAATAAAGAATTATTCTATTCTAGTCAGCCATAATGGAAAAATAATAGTTAATAGCATAAATAACCTAGAAACTTATAATCAATCGTTCGTTAAATTTGTTTAGTTTAACGATCAACTTTAATTATTTACATAAAATTCTTTATTATAAAAACAATTTATATTATCAAACATATCGTATGAAAATAAACTCGGACTGGTTAAACAAGACTAGAATGTTTGTTAAGTACTCTCTGAACTTTGAGCCTTGATCAAACTACAACATAACATTATCACACATTTTAAATAATATATGCGTTTCCAAATCTGATCAATCCATTATTATGGCAGATGGGCACCGGTGGGCTGGAAGCCGTTTTCATCGGCAATATAATCCACTCTGTAGGTTACGCCATCAGGGCCGACATATTGGAAGAACCCTTTGGCTCTCATACCTTCGTCTTCATTATTGATTTTCTCTATCCTCCCCGCTTCCTCAGCTAGGATCTTATTCTCAGTCTCATAAAGGTAGTGGTATCCATCGGGGAGAACATCAGTTTCTTGACGGATTATTCTATATTGGCCATCATAGCTACCGTCGTATTTAGCTGTAGCACTTGCAGTACCACCGAAACCAGCAGAACTCAAACTGCTAGCTAAGCCACTAGAGGAGCCAAGGCGATCAGAACCAAATTTTTTGCCTTGTCTGACTGAGTCGGAGCCAAATACGCCACCCGAGCTGCTAAACACGCTATTCGTACCGAATCCAATTGGTTTTCTGCCAGATCCCAAGCTGGAGCCGAAGCCAGAACTGGAACTAGGTCCAAAACCAGATCCAGAGCCGAATACGGCGCCAAAACTTGATCCAGGTGAACTTCTGCTACCACTGCCAGAGCCACTGCCAGAACCGCTGCCAGAACCACTGCCAGAACCACTGCCAGAGCCACTGCCAGAACCACTGCCAGAGCCACTGCCAGAACCACTTCCAGAGCCACTTCCAGAGCCACTTCCAAAGCCACTTCCAAAACCACTGCCAGATCCAAATCTAAAGCTGGCTCTTGAGTCAATCAGGCTACCTGAACCTGATCCAGGTACTTTGCTGCGGCTAAAGCCGGAGCCAGAGTTCCCACCACCAATGAGAGAGCTTGTGATTGGGCCAGAGCCCAACCGACTTGAACCAGAGCCAAATCCAAAGCCAGGTCCTGTGCCTGACTTGCCACTTGAACTAGCTCCAAGCGCTTGTCTGCCGCTGCCACTGTAAAAAATGCCACTGTTTTTAATTTCGCCGTTACTTACAATTGCCTTTATTCTGTAATATCAAAATCATCATCTTATGGAATCTCATCTATATTATGTAAAACAAAGTCATGTTAGTTAGAACACTAATTCAAGAACGAATGGACGAACTTTAGTGAAATATTATTTTTGGAATAAGAGAATAATTATAAAATATCGTAAAAATCTCAGAAATAATTCACGCAGAAAATAAATTTTCTATAAAAAAACTAGGTTGCCGGTATCTTAAATAATTCACAGCCCACGTCACGCATACACAAATGATAATACTGCAAATCAATTGCCACATTACAGATATTTTTTTTCTATTAAGTTTAAAATGTATTAATTATTCATATGTAAATTCAATTTAAAATACATTTTAATTTAATTTAATCTAGTGAAATAAACCACCCCATGTCCAGGCACCATTATGCTTGCAGCATTGCCAAGCTGGATGGCAATGGCCAGCCTTTGCACCAGAAACAACCCGGAGCGGGGGTTAAAGTATTTTAAAATAGAAATCAATAGCTATGACCACTCTTGATAGTGATATTGTAATTTGAAAAAATACTTAATCTTAAAGCCAGTTTTCTACCGCCAAAGAGAAATGAACTAGAGATCTCTGGCGGAGCGGTCTTCGTGTACATAAATTGGGATTGCTTTTCCACCGAGAAAGAGTTCGGGAGTATTGAGCTCATTTCTACTCTTTTTGCCCGCTTTGTCATTTTCGCTCGACTCTTTGTTGAAACAGATGCATGCGTGTTTGTATTGCGAGGTAATCGGAGTCATTGAAGGGCTCGCTTCGTTCACGATAGAAAACCTCCCTAAGACACGTTGTGATACTTGCTAAGGAGAGAACTTTAACACTGTACATAAATATCACTATCATAGTTTTCATTTTAACAATGACATAAATTTTACTCTATTTGATTTTAGTTTACAAAAATATAGAACCATTACTAATTTCCCAAGAGTCTTAAAGACCTGAGAGATTAAGGGATGGCTGTATTTGGATAACATTGGGCAACATTATGGTAACCAATTAGCCTCGTTTTAAATTCTGCTGTTACACCATTGTAGTACACGTTATTGAAATTCGATTGTCTCTGTATCTTTTACCTTAATAAACTATTGAAATTTATTTGTATTTGTTTAATTGCGGTTGTAAAATTATTAACCGAATTAAGCTTAAAAGAAAAATGACACATTTCGCCTATATTGCGATTACAGTAATGAAAGGTACCGCAAAACATGATTTTGAATTAGGGCGTCGTATTGTAAATTTTTGTGTGGAAGCACAATGTACTTAAAAAATAATATAGTTAAAACTGCACTGTCTTCCTGCTTCATTAATTCATATTTAAAGGACTTTTGTTTTTTTAATATTACATACAATACACAACGAAGGAAAAGAATTTATGCATATACAGCCACGAATATAATGGTTTCAATAACCGTTGTTACTTTAATAAAAATTTGTAAACCTGTAGCTGAATTCTTAAACGGTGTTTTTAATCTCCATGTACTTTTGATAGCATAATGAGAACACATTTTCTATAAATGTTTAAGCAGTATTAATCCAAAAGTAATAAATAATAATTATAGTGAAATTAATTTAATTGTGATTTTTCACTGTTTGTTAACATTTAAAAAAACATGTTGATAACATTTCTAGATTACCAAATAGCAAACATGAATTTCCGGCATAACAGTAAACAACAAAACTCAAAGCCAAGTGCAGCTCGCCAAGTTTTTCCCACTTTTTGTTATTAGAAATTCAGCATTTGTGATCTGATTATAATAAGAAAGATTATATTACGATATGATTTCTCTAATCTCTACAGCATAATATGTAGATATTTTTCTTACATAATTTATAGCTATTTCCCTATGATTTGGTACAAACTTCAATAAATCGCAATCATGGCCTAACTTTCTACAAAAATCTGGCATTCTATTAAACCATTAACGGCCTCACTCAGAATTTTTAAGTTTGACTAGAATATAATAACATTTTATTGCAAAATATAAATAAGAATGTCGTTCGTTCTTGACAAGAAAGATGAAAAAGTTAGAACACAGCAATTCCATAAATATTCAACAGTTACTTACAATTTAAAGAAAATATTACTAGAAAATATTCCTCTTTGGTTGGCAGGGGCCGCGGTAGCATAATAGTCAGTGCATTCGCCCGGATACCAAAGGGTAGGGGTTCGAGTCCGGTCTGCTGCCTGGTCAGCGTGTAATTTTTTCTAGTATTATTTTGTTTAGATTTAAACATCGAACAGTTACACGCCTAAAAAATAAAAATTATAAGTATGCTTAAAAAATAAAAATTATAACTACTTACAATTTCTCATAATCATTGGGAATGTTGAGACCGGAACTGCCACGGCCAGGATCTTGGCGTCTGGCCGTGATCACGTCTCCGTTTATGGATATAATATTTCTCCTAAAACAAGCAAAGAAATAGAATTAATGTATACTTATGACAGCCTTTCACTAAATAATTATATTAGATAAAAAAGTTAAGATGATAATTGAACTTAGTCGAAACATATTGTGGGAAAGAAAAGTAGGTATAGGTAAAGTGATTTTCCACTTGAAACACTGCGCCTGCATTGTGATGTAAAGTACGGTACAAATTCAAAGTTTGTGAATAGTGGTAGTCGCTGGGCAAAAAACGAAAGCAGCCCACCCTAGTATGAGCACCAAAACTAAACAGATTTATCGACATTGACTGCCAAACGACAATGGAACTTGATAATTGAGTGTCGATAAATACTTGATCATATCGCGTTTGAGCGCTCATGTGGTCATGTATGTGTGTATGTGGGGTGGCCATCTGGCTGTAGTTACCTGAGCATAGTTGTACTTATTGATAACTTCACACCAAAATTGTGATATTATTTGATTCGCAACACAACCTCTACCTTACAGAAGTACTAACATTATATCATGACGTTAGTTTTCCTGTAGTTAGTAAAGTTGATCTTGCACAGTTCCACAGGGTAGGATTTGTTTCAGGTTGCGATCTACTTATACACAATTACAGCTTTCTGATATTTATTGTCTCTGAGCTAAACTGAAGATGGAGAAACAATAAAACTATAAGAGATCCTATTTGATTCGGGAACCTAAAAATACAATGAAAAAGCGCTTAAAAAATAAATTTAAACCTACACCTAAACCTAATCTGAATAAAACTAATAACAAAAAAACAGGAGGCTTAATTTTGCGAATTAATATTGAATGACTGCACTATCGAATACTTTTTGACTGATACGCACATAAAATAAATAACACATAACTTGTTATGTAATAAAAATTGCCGACAGTCGGCCGTTTGCCGCTTAAGGGGATTTTTTCAGTTTCAATTGAAGTTTTTATAAATGTAGGTATTTTTTTAGTTACGACTTTGAAAGGGTGAATTTTGAAAACTTTACAACCCTTCAAATATCCTATCAAATGAAAGGCCTTGACATGTAAAATAGATTATACATAAAAAGTTCAAATCCAAAATATCGGATTACATTTTTTTTGCGGGTTCGAGTCCCGTCTGCTGCCTGGTCCACGTGTTTTTTTATCTAGTTATTATATATTTTCTTTAGATCGGATTACAAGTTTTTTTTCAGAAATGTGATACTATGTTATTATTAAAATCAGATAAGGTGCGGAAAAGCTAATGGACCCGATCGCATCCAAGCAATTGTGCTCAGAAAATTTGCAGCGGAGTTTTCTTCCCAACCCCGCCTTGTGGCTGACTCATCAAGTTCTTAGAATACACGGGGTATTGAAAAAGTAAACGGTGACCAAAATAAGGGATCGCTCAGACCAGGCCAACAATCGACCAAAGGCAGTAATTACAGTATTGTGTAAAGTCCTAGAAATCCTTAGCAATAAATCTGATCTGCTGCCTTAAGGTTTAACTCTCTGATCAATGACTGTCAATACCGCTTAAACCGAAACGGTAGACGGGTGATCTTCTAACGTGCAATACTCACATCCGCTGGAACACGCAATGGCTGGACATATAGAAACTAAGGAGGAACGAGACATGCTTATCATTGAAGTCAATTACGTTTTTTAAACACGTAGTGTAGTACTAAGAACTTAGTTGAGTTCAATGTTAAGAAAAACCAGGATAATGGCTTCCACGGCAAAAACGGCTCCCTTGTTCCCTTCCTTCTACTACTTGGAGAGAGACATGAAGACGCAACTTGCCGGCCGGTAAGGTAAGGATATCTAGTGTAGCAGCTAAGCTGGTTCAGCTTCCTTCGCGGTTGGATGAAGTGGTAGAGTCGTGGGGTTAGATATGCATATAGATTCATTTTTTATCCTACTAATATTATTAATGTGAAAATTTGTGTGTTTGTATGTTAGTTACCCAATCATGCAACAATTACTGAACGGATTTGGATGAAATTGAAAACGTAGATTGAGACATATGATACTTTTTATCCACGAAAAATGTTAGGGTCCTGTGGGATTTTCAAAAAACTAAAGTTAATACGGACGAAGTTGCGGGCGTCCGCTAGTGCCATATAAAAAAACTTAATGTGTGAAATATCTATTGAATATAATAACCTAGGTATGGCGGCATTTTGTATGAAGTGTCGTTTGCCTTATTAATGTTTATTATAATGTTAGATACATTAAAGTGGGTTGTGTTTGTTCATCAAAATAACCAACTAAAAATAATTGTGATGCACTGTTCTTACCATTTTTTTTCCGGCTCCGCCTCCGCCGCAGTGATTGCCAGGAACAGCCAGAACAGCTGTGAAAAAAAATATTTTATGAATATTAAAAATTAAATTTAATTAAAAACATACTTTATCTTACTAATATTATAAATCTGAAAGTTTGTATGTTTGTTACTCAATCACGCAAAAACTATTCAACGGATTTGGATGAAATTTGGTACGCATATAGTTTATGACCTAAATTGAGACAAATGATAGTAAAATAAGTAAAAATGTTGAGTTCCAGTGGGACTCTCAAAAGACTAAAGTTATCGCGGATGAAGTCGCAGGCGGCCGTTTGTATTTTAAAATAATATGATGAGTTCAACCGCGCAGTGGTTTGCGCTTTAAATATGGTTAAACGACTTAAGTAAAGCAAGGTCTAAGTATAAAATATCACACAAATAATATCTCTAGCGCCTCCATGGTTTCGAAAGCACTCTAAACTGTTGCTCCCAACTGCATCTGCAGTCGTAATCACCGATCAATCCGCACTTGGCCTCCATTTCATCTTTAGAGACGCCCCATCCCCAGAATCTAATTAAGATATTACGATTAATAGGCTAATGATGAAAATATAAACAAAGAAACTACGTATATTGATCATAATATGATAATTATGTTAATATTCGTTTTTATTGAAATGACATCACATAACATAATTCAAAAAGACTTAAGTATCATAAATTGATCTTAATTTGAGGTCAGCTTGTAGGTCATCGTTTACAAAATACAAACAGCAAATCATTAAGTGTCTCCACACTCACCAGATCGACCCGCATGGTGGTCTCTTACACTCAAATATAGAAGTGAATCTTTAAATTTTAGTCTTGCCTATTTATATGCTGTTCGAGCGGCTCAGTGATTTTCAATCTATGCCGCATGGATCATTTTAGGGTTCTTTAGTCAACAAAGAAACCTTATAGTTTCACTATTTCTATTCATTCGTCTATTCACAGTTTATCTCCGAGACTCTTATGATCGTTTGCACTTGTAAATAGTAGTTTATGCAACTGCATAGGATCAACCTTTTATCGTATCGAATGCGATAAAAGGTTGACTCGAGTGTTTTAATACCTAAATTATATGCAGTTGCATACAACTACTTTATTTTTACTTACAGGAAATTAAACAAGTAGCTAGGTAACAAAGAAGTATTTGGCAAAGCTTTTCTGAAATCCAGGAAACAAAACACGATGGGCAGAAAATTGTATGGGAACTGCGGGAAATCATGTTCAAACTACGAATGCAAGTGTCTCTTTCTTTACATTCAGCCTAATACCATAGCATAATACATAGTAATTTCATAAATTAAAAAAAAAGTATACCATAATGATTACAAAGTTATTCTACGATAGAACTAGCAGTACTGTAATGAGTTTTATTTTAATTTTGCATTTACCTAGTCAGGTCATAAATTCTGTCACATGTTTAATATAAAATAATTGATACAAGTTTATTCATTATGTAACCATTTATATACCAAAATGACATACCAAAAATGACATGACCAACTTAAGAAAACATAGATTCTTATGACAATAAAATTTATTCAAAATGACCTCCGTGATTTTGAATACAGGCCTTCAATCTGCGCGGCCAGTCGTCTATCGCAGCACGAACGAGGTCCATGTCAATATCGGCGGCTGCCTTAATCAAGGATATCTTGAGTGACTCCAAATTGGGATGAGGCTTTGAGCATGCCTTTTCCTCCAAGTGTTGCTATATATTGTAATCTAACGGACTCAAATCTGGACTGGAGGTGGGCCAGTCTTCGTGCCGGATGAAGTCGATTTCACGCGCCGCCAGTCAGTCTTGTGTGCTCTTCGCTCTATGAGCTGGTGCCGAATCTTGTTGGAATACCCAGTGCCTGTTATTGAAGATGGTATGAGAAACAGGTTCCACAAGGTTCGTCAGGACTGTATTTTGATACACAACTGCGTTCGTTTTTACACCTTTCTCACAAAAATGTACCTCTGTTAAGCCCCAATAAGAAACTCCCAACCATACCATGAGCGAGGATGGAAAACGTTTGCTCGCTTCTTCACTACTGTGTGCGTACACCTTGTCATTTTGTTTGTTGTAGCTCTCTTCTACGGTAAAATTTTTTTCATCCGAAAAAAGAATTTCCCGATATTTATATCCCGCGTACCGCTTCAACAATGCGCGGCATCTCTTCCGGCTCAGGTCCATTAGACGAGCATTCAAACGATGTCCTGTTTTTCTTCGATATGCCCGAACCCTAAGTCTTCATTTAACACCCTTTTCACCGTGGTTCTGCTTAACCCCATTTGAAGGGCCAACAGTTTCTGCTTAGGTTTGGAATTTCTTTGAATTCGCGCCTTCACAGCTTTTATCACTCCTGGAGTCCAGAACAGATCGAGGGCGACCACTTCTTGACCTGTCATCTACACTAGAGTCTTCATTGTATCGTTTGATGGTACGATAAACGAATATTTTGGTTATATTCAAATTTTTCAGTATGTCAAAAAATTGAATTAGCGCGTAACCGCAACGATGCAACGCAATAACTGCAACACGGTCTTCTTTATGCGTCCACAACATATTTAAAAATGAGTAAAATTCTAAAAAGTATACATTTTTATTTTCATAAACAATTCTAAATTCGAATCCAATAAACTTTTTTGTGGCCAGCATTCTAAAAGAAAAGTTTTTACTGTGTAACAATACTTATGACCTGACTGTGGATAAGGTATAAGCATGTTTAAGTTACGAATTTAAACATCATTAAATTCGTAATTCAAATATTTCGACATGAATGTAGATAATAGTTATTTATGATACAAGTGCGGTAAGTAGGTTATTACAAACGTGTAGACGAATGTAAGCCAGAGAAAAAGTCGAGGGTCCATAGTCACGAGTTTGTAAATACCAATTCCGCACCAATCTCATACAAGTTTTTCAACACATTTGTGACAAAACAGAACCTTTATCTACCAATCCCCTATTATCACCAATCAATCCCTACTTTCACCCATCAATCCCTTATTATCACCCACCAATCCCGTTATCACCCTCGAATGCCTTTCACCCTACAATCCCTTTTCATCCTCCAATCTCCTTTTCACCTTTTTGTGTCTGGGAAATGCCTTACGCATCCTTCAACCACTGGGGGAGTGAGAAGAAGATATGTGGGACTCCTGCCCGTTCCTTTCAGCCTTGTGGCCAGATGAAGTGAAAAATAAACGGCGCCATGTATGGGAGCATGCGGTAAAATGATTTACCGCACGCTCCGTTGGATGGCTCGTAATTTTGAACTTTCGAGCAATGTCTATAACCTCCGTAAATGCATTTTCTGGGCAAGTGTATTGAAAATATAATTATTAGCTTCCTAAACTTATTTTGAAATATTTTGCTATTGGTTAATACCAAACTTTGATACCATCTAACTGGCTCGACGAGGCTTTGAAAATTTGATTCACTAAATCTTTTCTATCATAGTCACCAGATCGGTCTCATGCACTATAATACAAAAATTGAATCAGAAATTCTAATCTATTTTTATGCTGGCTCTGAGATTTTCCATTTGTGCTGACATAAAGATTAGATTGCCTAGCACAATGATATTAAATTATTAGATATCGAAAGTAAAACATGTTTCAATATCTTGATAATTCATGATTTTTTAGCCAATCAATTACGTCTATTTTACTAATTTTATTTAATTGATAAACCTTTTATTACACAAAAAATTCAAAGGAAGCAATAAAATGTATGGAAAAGTCAGGTATGGAAGTTTTCGAATCGGCAGATTTTTGTATATTTTTGACGTGACAACGTCTTAAATTAGGTTGCGGCTGGGAGTCACTTATGAAAAAGTGTAACGCTCGGTAACGTTACGATGAGTCTCTCGTGTTAAGTTTAAGTTTACATGTACAATGTTTTAGTAAACAAAATATATTTCTATAGTTAAAATTTGTGCAATTCTTATTTTCATTCAATTCCTTGTTCCTATTGTGCAATTTAATTATATTCATATCAATAAATATTCTACCGAGAAAAAGACGTTGTCACGTAAAATCTTCGCCCGTAAAACCGACTTTATTTATCTGTCCTGTGTTTGTTTTTAATTAAAGGATCGTAATTAACTTCGTCATGTTTTAATAACTGTTTGCATAAAAAAATGTCTATCGAATAGTTAATAACTTCCATTTGTTTTCATAAGGAAGACCAAAGCCATTTGTGACTGCTCTATGAGCTTTATCCACTTTGCTACGATGATATGCGATTTTACCTAAAGTCAATCAATGATTGGCGTAAGGTAAAAATACCATTGTTTGTCTATCAAATATACATATATATATATATATATATATATATATATATACTAGCTGACCCAGCGAACTTCGTACCGCCATAAAAAAATTAATTAAAAAAACATTGTCCAGCGGACAAAATTGTGAATCTAAACCATTCTCAGATCCCCTTGAACACACACAAAAAATTTCATCAAAATCGGTCCAGTCCTTTAAGAGAAGTTCAGTGACATACACACTCACAGAACAATTATATATATAAAGATATATATATATATTTGTTTTGCTAGATGTCTTTGTATACTAAATACAAATATAAGTTTACGCAAACTAGCAACCCTGTTCCTCTCTTTATCGGTGGCGGACTCTCGATTACAGATTTATTTTTGTAAAAAGAAGTATGTGCTATAAATTGAGTAGGTAAGTAATACAATACAATACACAATACAAAACACTTTATTGTACACCACATATAACATTAAATTTAGTACATAACCAATTAAAACTAGTGTAACAATGGGCGGCCTTATCGCTAAGAGCGATCTCTTCCAGACAACCTTTGGATGGAGAGGACTAGAAGGAAGTGGGAGAGACGGCGGTGTAAATCACTTGAGTGATATAGGTGATAATATATACAATTATATACATACATAAATATATAATAAATAAATACATACATACACATAAATAAACAAATCTAGTTCAGTTGGTAGTAGTCACAAATAAGATTAACATCAAAAGTTATAAGGACAAATAATGGGACTTTACGAGGTTTTTAAAAGCGTGGATAGATTCTGCACGTCGTATGGTAACTGGGAGAGAATTCCACAATTGTACGGCACGCACTGCAAACAAACGGTTATAAAATGTTGTAGCATGTACAGGAGTCATGAGAGTAAGATTTTCTGATGACCTAAGGGATAACGTGTTAGAAGTGTGAAGAAAATTAAAACATTCCTGGAGATAGCGCGGTGTCTTAGGATTAAACAATATATTGTAAAGGAGACCAAGAATATGAGCATTCCGGCGAAGACGAATAGGTAGCCCCTTGAGTTGCGAACGAAATTGAGAAACGTGATCATATTTGCGCAAGCCAAATATGAAGCGGATGCAAAAGTTTTGAAGTCGCTCAAGCTTATTTAGCTGGTCCTAATATGTGGAATATAACTGTATGGAAATGTCAGGTACTTGGATTGAATGACATATTATAGAGTTAGCTAGTTGTTATGAATTTACTATTTACATACCTCCTTGAATCATTTTTGGGCGTCATAAAAGGCATCGCTCCAGCTTTTGTCACTAAAAATAGAGCCGTGTAATCAGCAAAGTCTATGCATTTTACAACCATAAAGATATAGTTCGCACGAGTTAGCTTACCACTGGTCAGTTTCCTTACTCGTCAATTTCACTAATACACCAGTTTACTTATATGACAATTTCTGAATTCACCAATTTCCATATTTGGCAGTTTCACAAAATTTTCAATATCCCAATTAAAATGGTTTCCTAGGTCGCAAGTTTTCTTATTCGTCAGTTAGTTTAGAGTTTAGACTGTCAATTTTGCTATTTCTCTCATATACCTAACCCGTT